CTGCACACTTTCATCTTTAAACAAAAATCCTTATACAGTTTGGCTAAACTACGTTAAGTTTCAAGTTTTTTAGTTATCAACAACGCACATGTTTTATTACTTAAGTATCACGCCGCATTCTCATTGCTTTTAGTTCTTTCATAATTTAATAGAATATCTTTTGATATTTGATATTGAAAATGCTTCATTTTTGTTATTTATGCAAGTGTGAATGACAATGAAGTAAAACTGCGTATGAGATAAATCTGTTCTGCACATCCCTGTTGCGAAACCGATATTATCTTAGTAAATTCATGAAGAAAACTATATTTCTCTTAGTAAATTCCTTCCATATTCTCATAGAACGTTAAACAGGAAGTATTTACAGAGAAAAAGCTTATATTATAATAAATTACACAATAAAATATTACCACTGTGTATTTTTGCTTTTTTACGTAAGGAAATTAACTCGAATTTGAGAAATTAATGTTGAAAGAGTTTCTTTGTGAATGAAAACTTTTTTCGTGCTGAGGTGGTTTGAAAGAGAATAGCGTGAATGGCAGAATTATTACTATTTACTCATATAGAGTTTCATTAAAATCAGTAAATTATAAGCATTCAGTGAAAAGGAAGACTTTGAGACTTTCGAGAATTAATATGAGTTGAATGAATGGAATGGGCTACTTTAATATCTTTTAAAAATGACTTAAAAATGGAAATTTTTTTTTCAGTAATTTGGAATTCCAATTGTGAAATAGGAATAACTTTTGGGATCATCGCATTTTCTACTAATTTCTCAAACTGCTGTACTTTTTAGCCAAGTCTTGGACCTTGATGTTTCGTCAGGATAATATATGATTACGAATGAATACCCTAACTTTTACCTAAGAATTAAAAGATGTTAATTTTAAAGCAAGATTTCAATATATGCTTTGTATATTTCTTGATAAATTCTCGAAATAATTTTCGTCTATTTTATTTTGAAAGCTAAATGCAATAATAGATGTAAGAGAAATAAGCCAATATGAACTTAAATTGTAGGCAAAATTCAGTCATAACTTAGTATTAATTACAAATGAAGAATACTGTATACATTTTAAGAGACAATTTGACGGAAGTCTTTCTTTGTAGAGCTTCCTATAGAGACTTAGCACAGTTGTTTCATTGTATGTAATCAGGATAAAAAACTAATAAATTGCGATTTTCCCTTATATACAAAATATAAACTTTATTATTATTAAAAAAATATTTTACATAAACGAGAAATTATATCAAAATATTTAAGATTTACTTTGTAACTTACTCTTTGCGTACTTTATTTATTTATTAAATTAATTTATTTATAAAGCTAATTATTCATTTTGTAGTTGTAGTGACTGTTGTTGCATTTGTAACGACTTAAAAGTTGCATCTGAAAGATTACTCTCCAAAAACAATCCTTTCCTAATTAAATGGTATATAGACATAATTATAACACGGCCAAAAGAAATAAAAAGTATCACTAAGTACTCTAAAAATCTACAGTAGTATTTCATTTCTTTAGATTGAAAATCCAGTATGTATATTCAGATTTTTCATTTTACCTGTCTACAATATGTAAATCTTCTACAGCTGTAACCATAATAACATGAACGATAGAAATTGGAAATATTTTATTTTAATCCTTCCATATTATTAGCATTAAAGGTTTTGAAAACTAAGTCTCCTGCATCAGATAAATTATTTAGTGGAAAAATATTTGTGAGAAGCTGAGTATGTTGTACAGTCACTAGGATTTCTTTTAAATCTAAAACCTTTCAGATTTCTTTAATAATAATATTTATTTAACTTTTTTCCCTTTTATTATTAGTCCAAAGGGAGCAATTTGCCTAGAAGGACTATTAATTTCGTTTTGACATTTCGACGTCGATCCACAATAAGCGTTGTTTCACTTTTCAAATTGTTGCCACCAAATATTATCGCCCTGCATTTTATTTAAAGAAATTAAATGATGAAGAATCTGCATAAATGTATGTATGTTTCTGACACTGGGATAAAACAATGATACCTAGAGCTATCAAAATCTGAATAACGCAATCTTCCATAGAATATAGGCGTGTGGAAGACCTAATTTGAATTTGAAATTTGTTTAATTATCGATTTTATATTTTGTAACATTCAACGCATTTTTGATTAACAAACTAAACGATTTCAAAGCGGGCAATGACAATACTGTACGAAGAAAAAAAACATTTTCATCTCCAGAGCGCAAGACTCTGTATGGGAAATTCTAAAGATATGCTCATTTTAAAATTATTTTGCGATATTGCTGTTGAACTGAATTTTATGGTTTAAGTGCGAAGAACATGGTATTTAATAAATAAAGGTAACACACAAAATGTTAAGAAAACGCTCCTTTGGACGTAATTTAAAATCTGAGACCTTTCGGATTTCTTAAAATGTTTTTTAATTTTTAATTCAATTTAATTAATTAATTAATTAATTTTTTTAAAGCAGGAAACGCGAAAAATGTGCTATGCCTTCCCCGGGACTCGAACCTGGACGTCTCGAATACGCTTCTAGTAAGCTTCCAGTTACACCACGAAGGCATGCGGAAAGGTGGGAAGTACCTGTTCTCATCCGATCACCGATGTAAAGCAGCATCGGGCGTGTCAGTATTTGGGAGGATGACCTTTCATACTTCCCCTTTTAAAAGGAGAATAGGGATTATGGGACCCAATCGCCAAACCCTGGTGGTGACGAATTATCGTCCAGCATCTTTTAGTTCTGGCACCACTTTTAAAGGCATTAGGGTTTTTTTTTCGAAGCAGGAAACGGAAAAAATGTGCATTGCTCTTCCTGGGATTCGAACCCTGGACCTCTAGAATACACGTGGGATAAAATACCTTATAAAGTGATCATTAACACATGAAATCTATTCCAACGTGAACTGTAGCGAAAGTACTAAGTTTTCGCAAGCATTCACGGTTATAGATTCTTACTGGGAATAATTACAAAGGTCATTTACAAAGCAGCTTTAATAAACTGCCAAATGAAATTTAATGTTAGATATTTACTGAAAGTATTAGTTAAAACACGTGGTATTTAAATTCACAAGTTCGAATAGATTACTATGCTATATAAAAAGTAAAGCACAAATAATATAATTTTTTTCGAAAGTGACACAATAGGGAAATAGTAATATTTTCAAATTATTACATGAAGGACAATATTCGGTGTGCAGTAGTTCATTTCTTCATTTTTAATAAGTTCTTTGGGGTTAGGATTATTTATATTATGCCAAAGCAGACGAACGTTATTGCACTAAGGGGAATGATACTATGGTAGAAAATGTTTTAAGTACTTGGCTGTTATAAAGGAGGAAAACCCCAAAGGAATGAGGAAAGCTACAAAAACTTCCCCTGTTTATATCGCTTGTGAGCCAAGTTACATTTCTCATTAAATAAATTTCTTTATTCAGCGACTGAGCGGTAAAACTTTTAAGCACTTGTAGTTCGAGCGGAATGCCTGATGAACGGAATCATTGCATGGGAAATTTCGTAATTTTTCTTCATGCATAACGTGAACTGAGCCAATTGTCCCTAAAGAGTCCTTTACGAAGGCATCCTTCACTTAGGTATCTTTTGAGTGATCTGCCGTACACTAAATTAATCCTAATCTTTAGAAATCACAAAATAAAAATTTTAAAATTTAATTATTATTACATGTAAAGTATCAACAATAAAATTCTTCCATAAACTATCCCAGCAATTTTGACAGATTTAAAAAAAAAATTACATAAAAATGGAGCGTTATGCGTAGTGGCTTGGATATGGTTTTAATGCCCAAATATACAAAAAAAAAAAAAAATACTTTGCTTTTATATGATAAGTATTTTTTTCCGCTTTTCAGCATTAGAATTAAGCAGGGATTATTTTTATCGATTATAAGGTATTTTCTACGTCCATTCCGCATGCCTTCGTGGTGTAACTAGAAGCACTCTCCACAGGTATTTTGGAGGTCCGGAATTCGAATCCCGATGACGGCACCACACATGTTTTCACGTTCCTTCATCGATATAACCAAATGATGTTACACGATGATTTATTACGCTATTAAAGATGTCTATATCAACACTTCTTAAACATTGCTCATTCATGACTCCTTTCATCATCGACAGTTGTTTTTATATGAGATATTGAATATGAGATAAGGATATAAAACTGAATATTTTCCCATAAATAATTTGTTTCTTCGGTAAGGAGTGTACATATGAAAAGTAATAGTTTTAGGATTCATTTCAAATTTACAAAAATTATGAAAGAAATAAGTTTTAATTAGATGGGTATGCCGCAATTTTGTTGCTTAGGAAATTGCATTTCAGTGCAATATTTGTCCCTTCTGGACATAAAAGCGTCTTCGTTGTTTTTCAGCGTTGAACGACGTTTGGAATTTTAATAAGCATTTAACCTGGAAAGAGTCATTTTACATAAGTATGTGGTGTTGAATGGCATTCAACGCCTTTTGAGAAAATTGTGGGAAATTCAGTTCTAGCTCAGATCTTGTATTGTCAAGGATTTGTGCAGAATCTCAAATTTAGAGTCACTCGATGAAGTTCCTTTTCAACTTGATAATGGCTGAGGATTAATGTCATTAATGTAAATTAATATAATATTCATTAATAATATAATATTCGTTAAAATTCTCATTTATGTAATTTGTTTAGATGAAGACATTTAAAATTAAAGTTTCGTGATCCAAACACTTCGCTTTGGTACCTCATTTATCCTCGTGACCCACAGTTTAAAAAACGCTGGTCTAGATGGTACTAGTAAGAAGTTGAAGTTATTAGTGTTCATAGAAACTCACCTTTTCTTTTAGTCGGTTTGTATTATAATGCATTTTGGGTATTTTATATACTTAACTACATTTAAAAGAGTTATGTAAGTGTAATACTAGTTTTCAAGAAATATGTTACGAATAAAATTGAGTAAGATGTAAGAATTGGATCGCCGGCTAATTTAACTTTTTCTTTTTTTTAGGCAGACGTTTCATCAAAAAGTAAACACTCCCAGCTGGCTATCTTCCTTTACTCGATGTTCACGTTTCTCGTACAATGCACCGGTGTATAAAAAGGAAAGCGGCGAAACTTCCGATAAGAAGATAAGAGCGAAAAAGTTAAAATGGCAGTGGTGTAGGTGACTTGGTTCAAAGGAAAGGAAGCCACCTTCCCCAGGTGAATGATCCTTCTCTTCTACGCATCATTCCCTCCTAAGGAATTGTTTTTAGTGGGAGCTTTTATCACGCTGTTGTGGCACCATTATTCCGTTGCTGTATAAGGGAGGGGGAAGTGTTAGAGCAAATGCGGGAAATTTAAGAGGGGCTAATTATTCATAATTCACCAAACCCGGAAGCGGTTGCTTGGAAATAATTGCCATGGTTATTGATTGTGAGGCGTTTATGGTTGGGGTGTTAGTGGGTTCAATATGAATGCCTAGATGAAGGAATGCAATTCTTTCATCATTGAAAACATTTTTAAAAAAAACTTTATTTGTTTTCCCACAAGTTGGCCATGTATCTTTCAGGCAAAGAATGTTAGCTTGCAGCCGTAGCTTCTTAATGAATGTCTTTATATCTTTGGGCGAATTAAGTAGTTCAAACCAATTCAACTGCTTTCTAATGCTTGTCGAAGCATTTTAATTACAAAAGACAAAATAAAAATGTAGGCTGAAAAGTTTTGTGAAGAATTCGTCAAAAGCTTTCTTTCTTAAAAATAAGCTTCAGTATTACGTTTTCGTAAAACATTGTGCAAAGTGTTATCATCGAGGCTATAAATAACGATAACACTTTCTTAAACAGCCAAAATATTATAACTTATTTAAGACTTCAGTTTGAATATACAAAATTAAAAAAGAATGCAGCAGGACAGAATTTTACTACTTATTAATCTAGATAACTTTTGAATTGTAATTTTGAGCATATTGAGGCATATAAGGAATTATATTGAGCCAACAGTCTTATTTTTAACTGAGCACATCAAACAGCACTAACAACATAGTACTACACAGTTTTTCAAATTGTTCTTTACTAATATTGTTATCGTTGTTGCGACTAATCTCACTTGTCTGACCTTATCAGAATAAGCCCACGAAATTCATCATGGCAAGGTAGTCATCATGTAGGTGACAGTACGAGTTTGCCCAATTCCACCTCAATTTTGACCCGGAAGGGTGTCCCACTTGTCTTTCCCTATCACCAGTCCACAACAGAGAACTTCCGGCTCGCCATAGGTTTAGAGTGCCCCCATGCCGCAGAGACACTATACATTTACAAAAACACATGCCTTCTCCGGGATTCGAGCACGGGCCTTTCGGTATAGTAGCCAGAATCCCTAACTACTATCCCGTTTTGGAGGCATTAATATTAATTATGCTGTTGATGATTGAAGCATTTATGTCCAGTTTAACATTTAAATGAATTGCTGAAATTAATAGCTGTCTAATGGTTTTATATTACTACAATTTAGTTGAGAGACAGCTTTATGCTTTCCGTTTAGTTTTTTACATATACAAATTTTCTGAACAGCCGAAAATATATAATACTTTATTTTATCCTAGACGTCTAGTTTAAAATTTTATTTAAAATGAATTTTTTAAATGTTAGTACAAAACAAAAATTTCCTGTAATTTATATGAATCCTTTCGCCTAACAGATGATCTTTAGTATACCTATGTTAAACGACTAGTAGAATCTTAAAAAAATTAAAACCACCAAATATTCAACTCAACTATGAGAAACAACAAACTGTGCACAAACTAGTAAGAAGGCTTATTATGTGAAAAAATACAAAGGACTCTCTAGAGCATGTGTATGTACTTTTAAAATTTTCTTTTCACTTTAATTTTTATCATAATGTAAATTGGCAAGTAAATACATTCAGATTCACCCATTGAATTCGTTTTATGTAAGCTATTATATTTCGAAGAGTAATGCTTTTTTTTCCTAATTGCTGCCGTTCCTTAATGAATAATATTAGTATGACTGAAATCCTGCCACTGAAAATGAGTAGTCTGTGTATTAATTAGTTAACCTGTAGAAACATTAGGTATTTTTTGAAAGCAGGAAAGATGAAAAGTTAGCTACGCCTTCGCCGGGATTCGAACTGCGGAACTCTCAATTATGTGCTCAGCGTGCATACCTAATCGCCAGATCCTGAGTGGGGAGAAATCATCATCTACCACCACGGATATCTGTAATATTAGGCCCAGCGTGCTACCATTAAACTACCATTAAACTAACTAAAAAATAAGCCCAAAACAACAAGGGATGTAATATGATGTTTTGCTTCACATTACAGTAATAGATTTAGAACTACCATTAAACTAACTAAAAAATAAGCCCAAAACGTATTTTGAGACACAAAGCTTTAGTATTTTATAGGAAGAACCAGGTTTTTCAACAACTAGTTTTAGGAAAGTGACTAAAAAAAGATTTCATAATTTTCAACAATAATTTCAAAAAGTTCACCTGAAGAGCAATGCATATCATATCATGTATAATTAAAATTATTTTGTGTAAAGTAAAGAACATTTTTCAAATTTTCTGTTATTTTAGTAACTGCGTATTTTCTGCTGTTTGTCTGATATTATTATGGATTAATAATAAGAGATTACTTTATTTCTGGCTGCTGCTTTTTTGAAATTGCTTTATTTTTTATGCATATCTGCAACAATATGTTTATATTATTGCAATATAAACATATTTTTTATATGTTTTGAGAAATTAAAATTTTGCAATAGTTTCTGAAAGTATACATATCTTAAACCGAAAACAAACGTAATTTGAAATTTATTCGAATGGAATTCCTTAACCTAAATGCATGTATTTATTATATTATGTAGAGTCATTAGGTATTTTTGATACGGGAGGTGTGAAAAATGTACAGTGACTTCGGCGGGACTCGCACCTGGATCTCTCGAAAATGCGCCGAGTGTGCTATGTGCTACCGTTACACCACGAAGGCATGCAGAAAAGAGGGAGAAAATACCTTACATACTCCCCCTTTTAAAGGGTGACTGGAAATTAGTGAACCCAGTCGCTGTTGGTGAAGAATCATTATCCACCACCTTTTAGTTCGGGCGCCACTGTAGAGACTTATTTTTGATACGGAAGACTTGAAAAATGCGAAATATCCTGACCGGGACTCCAACCTGGACCTGTGGAATACGCGCCGAGGGTGCTACCGTTACACCACGAAGGCATGCGGAAAGGAGGGAGAAAATACCTTATATACTTCCCCTTTTAAATGGTGATTGGGGATTAGTGACCCAATCGCCAAATCCTGGTGGTGAAAAATCATCTTTTAGTTCGGGCGCCATTGTAGAGTCATTAGGTGTTTTTGATACGGGTGACTTGAAAAATGTACAATACCCTCGCCGAGACTCGAACCTGGAGCTCTCGAATACGCGGCGAGTGTGCTACCGTTACACCACGAAGGCATGCAGAAAGGAGGGAGAAAATAACTTATAACTATCTTATCCGAATCTGTGTTAGCAAACTATGTTTATGTCAGTAAGACTTAAGTTTACACTAGAATCTGCAAATATAAAATTAAGAAGAAAAACTAAAAACACCAAACAATTCAAATCTAAAAAAATTCAGGAATTTTCCACCATCTTAGTGAGTTTCATTTCCTGTGTTGTTGGCGTTTGCTACTCATACAATGCTTCGTTTTCTAGGTTATTAATTGCTGAATACTGGAAAAAAATTACAACACTCATTGATGTTAATTTTTTCCTCTTTTTAAAACACTAACACTTCTTTTAATATTCTCTTTTCCAAGAACCACCTATTGCGCCTTTACCTTTAGGCGTAAACATCAGTGACCAAAACGACACAGGTACAGAGCTCTTGACCTCTCTTGACACGTCCCTTTTGACGTGAGTTTAACGGAGGGTGACGTTCAAAGCGTTCATGCTCTAATTCATGCACCATTCACGTCACAAATCACGCTACGTAAGCCTTTTTTTCCTTCCCTGTGTCAGAACTTGTATGTTATTTTACTGCGCGTCCCACGAAAAAAACCTCTACTATTGCAATAAAACTGTTGGTTGGGATTTATGCTTGCTTTTGAATAGAGGGTGGAGAGTTTTAAAGCTGGCCTCTCTGAAATTAAAAGTTCTTGCTCTAATTTGCTTTATTATAGATATACACACACTAACTCATACAGCCATTGCAGAAATCTGTAAGAGGTATGGAACATAAGCATTTACTCATAAAGTGATTTTGAAGCGTTGATAATCTGAAGCCTCTAAACCAAATTTGGTTGAAATAATGCGGTCCGTAATTATAGCTCAAATGAAGTTTAACTAACCTTGGACGAGTGCGTTAAAACGACCAGTCTTCATATTTTTCGAAAACTTTTATGCAGTTATAAATATACAGAATTTCCGTTTTAGGACATGTACTTGGTTCTCTTAAATGATTTGCAATTATGTTTTTTCGAAAATAGAATTAGTACCTGTTTTGAAAAAATAAGACACGTTATGATGGATTTCTATTACATGAGAGTCCAAACATTTTCTTATCTGTTAAGAATATAATTGATGTAATAAATATGGTGATTATTCGTTGATACTGTAAAGTTTCAAATGGATAAGAAGTGTTAAACTTACATTCCTAGCCAGCGTTCCTATTTGAAAATTTAAAGAAGGAAAAGGTTTCCAACCTTGGGATGTTTGACCCAGTCAAATATAAAATATAATAAAATCTTTTCATGGTTCCACATGATTAGGGTGTTCTGTGGAGGTAGTCGGTTGTCTTACACGGGTAATTTTTAAGATTAATATATATTTATATTCTCAGAAATGCTGGTCTTTTTTTAGAACTGGTAGAACACGTTGGAAGAAGCGAAACATACTTATTGAAACACCCTTATATAAATGAGCGCTCTTTTCCTTGTGTGCCTTTTGTCACCCATTTTTCAGAAACTAAGAAACATAGTTGGAAAAGCTATCGCCACATTTTATAAGAGAATTGCTGCACTCTCACTGCATGAACTGGATTGCTATCTGAACATTTTTTGAGACATACATGGCACCGATAGTGAACTGGTTTGTAAAGGATTTTTTTTAAATACTTACATGCCTTTTCTTCCCTCCTATATGAGTATAAATGTAATATTCCTCTTACTGCTTGTATAACCAAGTAACTGAAAGTTTTCTGTCATTTGCAAAC